TGACCTAGAGACAACATGCAAGAACAATATTGTGTAATTGGAACTAAGATTAAAAGTCTAGAAAAAAAGATAGGTTTAGATAAAAGTTTATAAATGCAAATACAGCTGTAGAATGATAAGTTGAGCAGTATTGCGTGTAGTAATAGATGCCGGATTTTGTGTATTGGCATCTATTCGATCCGACATCTATTACTACACGCAATACTGCTCTACTTATCATTCTACAGCTGTATTTGCATTTATAAACTTTTATCTAAACCTATCTTTTTTCTAGACTTTTAATCTTAGTTCCAATTACACAATATTGTTCTTGCATGTTGTCTCTAGGTCACTCCGGTCTCATTTTGCACATATAAACTATAGAATTTTTATATTAAGCAAATATTATCGTCATGTGACAGCTCTACATGCCAAAAATTAATGGAATATTTAGTTTTTTTTCGTTTTTGATATAAAGTCGAGTAGGCTGACTTTCATTTTTGTGCAAATTTTAATCGTGTACAAGAATTTGCAATTCTGTAAAGCCAATTAAAAGATATCCTTATATAAAAAATGTCTGTTATACTTCATAAGATATAATTATTTAACTACCACTACAGATACAAGTACATATGTAGCAATATTTGTAAAAAGTACATGTATTTTTTTATAGATATAAACCAAATGAAGTTTTTATTAGTTTCAATGGTGGTAAAGATTGCACAGTAGTTTTGCATTTGGCTGCTACTGTTACCAAATTACGTAATATTTCGTCCTTACTGTGTTTATATATAACTGACGATTCCTTTCCAGAGGTAAGATGTTAAATAATGACAGGTATAAATAATGAGAAGGTATATGTATATTTTACATTCTTCTTTATATATACAAAGGAAGAGAAGAAGGATAGAGCAAACTAAGTTTCCATTTAAGTCAGTTGTTTAAATTCTATTCAATATGATTCAATTGAGTTTTTTTTCATTTTTATTCAAGATGATTTTGGAAACTAAATGTATCAATAATATATATAGAGGAAAGATATTATTATCTTTTTTTATTTAATTTTATGATCTTTATCAATGTCAGAGCAAAGTTACTGTTTTACATCTTTTTCAAAATTTACTTTTATTTGATATATTTTTAAATTTTATTTTTGAAGTTTGTTGATTAAATTAACAACTCTGTATATAGTTTATTAAAAATTAAAAGAGAAAGAGAATACATGCATATTAGTAGTTAAATATAAAAAAAATGTTAAAAAGACTGAAGAAATTAGGTAGATATATACATATAACATAGCAATGTTTATTATGGTTTATTATACATTATACATTATTATGTCATTTTTAACGTTGCTCAGTTACTTTGGATGATTCATCCAATCTGCTAGATTTTTTCTTACAAATCTTTTCTTAGAAACCTACAATGATCTCGATAGATGATACATGAATTATAATATAAATAAATAAAATTGACGTACTTACTGAAAAATTTTTAAAAGCCAGTTTAGAAACAATTTGATACAAAGAAATATGAAGTATAATATAAAAATAATATAAAAGGGGATACCTAATAGATCAATTTTAAGTATTTTTTCAAAATTGTTAGCAGATATTATTTATCCTATTTATCCTAAATTTCCCCTTTTCTTATATGGAATGGATATGCGTTTATTAATATCTTTGATATAGGTAGAAGTATTCGTGGAGTCAGCTGCTCAATATTATGGTTTGGAGATAATACGTATGCAACGACCGATCCAATCCGCATTATCTACATTACTGGAAGAAAAATATGATTTGAAAGCTGCTGTCATGGGTACGAGAAAAGGTGATCCAGGTTCTGAAACTTTACAAGCATTTATACCTACTGATCCAAACTGGCCACAGTTGATGCGTGTAAATCCTATTTTACATTGGTCGTATAGTCAAGTGTGGGCATTTCTGTTAAAGCATAATATTCCTTACTGTTCACTCTACGATCAAGGATACACAAGTATCGGCAATAGAAATACTACTGTGCAAAATCCATTGTTAAGGGATCCTAATAATCCTTCGTCTTATTTGCCAGCGTATACTTTAACCGATAAATCTGCTGAGAGAGAGGGTAGAGAGCATGAGAAGAAAAAGATGTGATTTTTAATAATTTAATATATTCTATAATTAACAAATCAATATTGTTATATATATATTTTACTAGTATTATTAATATGTATTTAATATTGTATGTTGCGTATGCATGTGTATATGCGTATATACGTATGAGAGTAAAGACGCCAAGTATAAGCGTCACCTAATCAAGCATTATATAATTTAATTATTTGGATATTATATTTTATTAGAAAAAAACATTTTATCTTCTCTACAAAAGTAATGATATCATCAAATGGCACCAACTAAACTGAATATTTATACAAACTAGGTACTTTATTATTTTTTATATTAAAATGTTATAGCCAAACAATCGAGCATAAAATTTTATCGGAAGAAATAAAGGAAATAATATTATTTTTTAAATAATATGTTTATTCCCTTGCGGGGTACATATACGGACCTCCACTCCATTTATAATTTTTTGTTTATCGCACGCACGTCCGCTCGGTCTGCAGAACTAAAATAATATGAACATGTTTTTTGAGTATTTTGACCCGTTGAATACGAATCCGTGGTCAGAAATGCTCCATCAGGTCTCAAATCCTCCCTAAATTAACAAATGCATTAAAATTCCCCTCCCCAAAACTGCTTCTTGAGCTATTTTCTTGATTTATGAAGTTCTACTTGTAAGATATTAATATCGGATTTAAATTTCGCGCTTTATTAGCCCGCGTTGGCGCAGAGAGGCGCTCAGATCTCTTCTTCGCGGGATTGGCTCCTGCTTTGCAGCAGCCCGTTTGTTGGCAAAAATGCCACCAGGTCTTTGTGATTGGGCCCATGGACCTAAGAATCTCTGGACCGAGCACGAAGTGGGAGAACGGGCAAGGGGGCTGTTAAATTTGCGGTAAGGGGGGCGAGAGTGCTCTCCTTTTCTGTCCTCTTGGTATCTCGAATCTTTCTACAAGAGGTCACATTCGGCTTGATGACGAATGTAACCGAAGATAGTCGAAGTTTGTGTATAGTTTATACATAATTTCTCGACGGGAACATGGACCTAAGAATCTCTGGACTTCAGAAGTTAGCGAGTATAGACTTGTCTAGTCTTTTGGGAATCATCGGATATACGGCGGATGTAGCGTTAAGGAATGGAGGTTCGCTTGTAGCTACCGCTGGTCGTAATGATCTCGGTACACCAGTCAGACTTAATGACCCTTTTATTGTAATCGGATACACAGCTAGCTCTCTAAGCTTGAACAGGTCTTGACTCGTTCACGGATAACAATTGAGTGAGCTCTAACGGAAAGCTGCTGTTGCCGAGAGCTGAAGCACGAGCTACGATTGGCCGTTGCCGATCATGTGATCAATATGGCTGGCAGTATTGCGTGAGGGAGAGGCGCATGCCTACACGGAAATACCCGACGGTGACCTCTTGTAGAAAGAGACAGTACTATCCTCCCCTTACCGCGAATTTAACAGCCCCCTCTCCGTATGCTCGGTCCAGAGATTCTTAGGTTCATGATTGGGCCCGAGGCCCAGTAATACCGAATATAGCCGAAAGGTTCCGAGAGCGCGCAAATCGTGCTCGCTACGTCTTTCGTTTCTGGCTACGAGACGAGACAGACGTGTCCCTGCCGTACGATAGATTGCCGCGTGTTGTATCTTTTGAAATATATATTATTTTATTTAAACTCTGCCTTGTTTGATTGACTCGTGGACACGGAGGTTTTCCCGCTCTGCTCTCCTCCTGACAAAGGTCTTACATACTATAAAATTCTTGATCAATACAATCGTCAGATCTTAAGATCATCGAGCCGCTATGGAGAGTTTTGGAGCTGAGAGAGAGGAGCAGATTTCCACCTTCATCATCATCGAGCCAATTTGCAGGGTGTTGGTAGAAGAATGGGACAACATTCCGTTGGACTATCCATACACTCTATGAATCTATTCCACGACGAATTACAGCTATCTTATAAAAGCAACCGGTGGCACTACACCAATTATTAATTAACAAATGTTGTGTGTCAGTTAGGTCTTCACAGTACTTTGTCTACTCTCTGTATGTACATTATATGACTACGTTTCCACCGAGGGTCAGAGTCGGGCTAGAGTCGGGTCCAGGGTTAGTCAACTCATATATGGATTTTCAAACCGTGTTTTTAGTTTGGCTTATCTAGTCTATTAGCCCAGACGGCGCTAACAGCGCCGCATGATGCAACTGACAACAGCTGTCGACTGTGTCTCAATCAATCTCAATATCATGAGTACACGTATAAATGTTATATTGTCTTCAATTGTATTACATATTTGTAATATTTGGTAGCACAAGTTTGCACAAGTGTCAGTGAAAAAGTGTACAAAGAAAAATACGATTGTTTTATTGACACCGAAGGAAGCCTAATAACAGGTTAGAACTTAACAGGTTAGATTGTAGTATCGTTAAAATCGGTCTATTAGCCCAGATGGCGTTGAAATACTATCATGACTTTTTAACACGGGAGTTTCCTTACCCTGGTCGGGTCAGAATCGGGTTGGGGTGAGCGTTTTTGCGGTGGAAACACCAAACTGGGTCAGAATCGGGTTGGGGCATGATGTAAGTATAAAGGTGTTCCATTCCCGTGGATGCGCAGTCGTCAAAAATGATAGCCAATCAGAAATGGCCAGGAATGTTAGAATTCAATATGGCTGCTGACAGTGTCACACAGAATAAACAGTGTTGGTAAGGTTAAGTGTGCGTATTAAGAGAATGGCTGGCGACGGAGATTGATAGCAAGGGCCTCGAGAATACGGACGTGGAGCCTATTGAGGATATCTTGAAGAGGATATCTTGAAATATTATTCTTTTATTACAAATTTTAAGTTAAAATATATATTTTAATATATATTTAGTAATATACGATTAATAGAGCATTTGAATTTCGCGGCTGCATTCCTGGCCATTTTTCATTGGCCTACTACACATACGTCACTACGGATGACGCCATTATGCGCAATGGTACACCTTTATACTTACATCATGGATATAATCCTCTAGAGTAGAGACGTATGAGAAGTCGACCGATCGAATTCGATCGTGCACGCGATCGCTCCCCCGATCCGACAGCGAGTTAACGCGAATCAACTGAATAATCATGTTATTTATTATGGATTTGCCGCCGCATATACATTTATGTTACACATTGTATACACAAATTTGACAGCACCATGATCACTCACCGCACATGAGCGCGGACAGGGATTCGCATCCTGAATTTTTTTGCGCGTTCGTAAACTCATCCAAAAAAAAGTGTCGCAACCTCATTGCTCCCCACTGTACCAATTAAGCTAACGCGTTAGCATCGGTGACGTCACGACCACAAACGAAAATGACCGTGGTCGCTTCTGGTTGGTTGTGGTCACTGATCTATATTATAACTGGATAGTGGATAGGCCAAATTTTCTGTCCCCAGTTGAACAGCGCCATGTTGGAAAAAGTGTGTCATTTTCGGGCATCATCGGAAGTTGTCGTGAGCGTTCGGTTAGAAGTGTCGTTCGTACACTTGCCAAACAAGACAGGAAAGGCTGAGTTATGATGGCCGTAACTGTTAACTTATGCCAGAACCGGTAAAGTTCGATACTGGGATTTCAATGCTTTCGTTCAGAAACCCATTATGAACGAAAGCATTGAAATCCCAGTATCGAACTTTACCGGTTCTGGCATAAGTTAACAGTTACGGCCATCATAACTCAGCCTGAAGAAGACCGTTGTCATATGACCTAACCTAACCTAACGACTCCCTCCTACTTGAGAACACTGAAATATATACTAACTGGAACGCGAGCTAGAGCCGAGCCGTGTGTACCGAGAGAGAGCATCGTCGAGTGGCCTTTGTCATTGTCTGGCTTATAGGGTGGTCGAGAGTGGGGACGGAAAGGTACAGTCCGATCGAGAAATTAGCTCGTTGTCAGAGGTTACACGATCTCGCGCAGTTGTGCTGCGGCCTGCGCTTCGAGATAACTTTTGGTTCGAACTGTACTAGACAATG